ACTATACTTTTTCTATTTTAATATAGGTTTAAGTACAATTTTGTACAATTACTAAAAAGATTGTATGACAAATGTGAGTGTCAATTAGTTTTTAAGAAACAATGAACCACCGTATGGTCGTCATTGTAATGACTATTTCCCTCGTAATTTCCACCAATCACAAACGCGAAATTTTAAATTACAAATGGTTTCTAGGTGGAAAAACTGTATGACAGCACCTGTCAGCAGTTTTTTCGAGTTTAACAGCGGGCAAAACTTGACAGCTGTTGCCACCAAAATTGCAATTTATACTTTAATTGTACCATAAATAATTAAGTTTATAGTATTTTGTGATTAAATAAATTATCTATTTTTCAGTTTTCAAATTATTACCTACCTATTTATTATGTAGGCATATACATATATATGTATATAATATATATTATGTTTTGTAAGCTATGTGTATGCAGAATAACTATTACTATTAAATAGGCTTATCAAATACCATTCGGGCATCTATTTTTTCCTGCGAAAAAAAAACGAAAAAACACAATGCTAAGTAAAATGGTTTAACAAAATTCATTCGTGCAGGTGCAAAAATCCTCGTCTTCGACTCGGATTTTTGTTGCACTCATGCTTCTTGTTAAAATATTACTTAGCAACGTGTTTTTTTTGATTTTTTTTCGGCAAAATTAGATGCCCTTGTGATATTACTTACTTACTACGTCTCATTGACGCGTGGAGAAAGAAATTAATTTTCTCCACAATTTAAAACTGAGCCAGTTTTTCAATTGAAAACAAATAAGAAAATAATAAATATGAAAATTCTTTAAAATTATTAGAAAAAACAGTTTTATTAACTGTCACCTCTAGTCTATAAAATTTGTTTTTGTACAACTTTTCAACTTTCCGTTCCTTACATATTTTTACTATTTTGTTTCTTCCAAAAAGTAACTCTGTCGTTTTTCTTTGATAACTACTTCAAAATAAATAAATATATACAGGGTGTCCGGGAAAAGGAAGTCAATCCGTTAACCATACCCAGCAAACACATAAGTCTGGTAATGTAATGGCCCATTACAGCGTTTAATGGTTAAATAATGGCATTTTTAACCCAAGCTGTTCTTGGACTGGGCCTCTACAGGAATTTTTCGTTAATAAATGTCAATTTAGACCAAAGGCTGTCGTGGTAAGGTCTTGCAATGGCCCTTTTCAGGCAATGATATTTATAATTTAACATTAAAGGCCCACATATGGCAATTAAAAGTATCAAGTTAATGGAACTGTAAAACACCATTACAGTGCCAAATGTTTTCCTTTGCTTTACACCATATTTACTAATGAATTGCCTCATGTTAGTGGTATTATGCATATGCATATATGTAGAAAAATAATATAGGTTTTGAGATATATTAATTAATTATCTAATAGGTGTATTTTATAATTTATTATTAATGAACTAAACAACTAGGTGGTACCTTTTTCAAGTAAGTATTTTTACTGTACAATTTTTACATTAATGTCGTACTATTTAATAACCTATTTCATGTGGCCTATTTTAAAATTTTAAATCTTCCAATATAAAAATAGGTACTTCAAAGAATTAAGCCAAAATTCATGGCGCAATTTTTAGCGCACCATATTTTGAATATTTAACCCTATTTAATTATCTCTATTCAAAACGAAGCTTTTTTCTAGAAAAACTTGCAAATTAGAATCCCATTATGAGACCATTCCTACAGTGCACTGCAGTCGTCAATGATTTAGCAATAGAATAGAGATCTCTTATGCATGTGATTTAGCCATATATCCATTGTGCTAAAGACTGGACTAGAGACTGGATTTATCTACTTAATTTGTTTTGGTGTTCAATTTAATTATTATTTACTGAAAGAAATTTGATTTTATTTTATAATATTTGTTTTTTTTTAATTAAATATGTTTTGTTATAATTATGTTTGAATTACATGTATTTTATAACACATTAAACACTTTGTATTTTTTAATTTTTTGAAAGTTTTATGGACATTCCATGATAACGAAATTTTTGTCCCGACTGTTATCTATATAGTAAAGTACCTATCTATTATGGAGGATTAAATTTGGTAGGTATATTTTTATTAGGTCGGATATTACACGATAATCGGGAATTTTTGTCCCTACCGTCAAAAATTGGTCGGGATAAAATCTGTGGGTAAAAGGCATAAGGGGATAAGTCAAAAAAAGCAATTTTTCGGTAGAGACTTAAACGTGTTCGCATTAATTCAGGAAATATATTTATGGTTAGCGAGTATACCCTTTTGCTAGCATATGACATGTGCTGGCAAAAGGATATACCCGCTAACCATAAATGTATTTCCTAAATTAATGCGAACACGTTTAAGGCACTACTAAAAAATTGATTGTTTTGACTTATCCCCTTATGCCTTTTACCCACAGAAATATTTCAATTATCATGGAATATCCGTACCTAGTAAATATATAGGTACCACATTTAATCCGACATAATAGGTACTTTATTTATCCATTAAAGAATATTTAACTAACCACTATAGAATCTTTAACAAGCCATATAAGAACCTTTAGCTTGCCACATTTGTACCTTTAACCTGCCATATCTGAACCTTTCGCGGTTCTTGTAAGTGTCTTTATCGACTGCCGTTACATGCCCATAAAAGGTGAACGCGACATAATATGTAGAGGTCCATTAAAGTCAGCCTTTATAGGGCCTTTAGTTTATTAAAGGCACGCGTTTAAAGGGCCATTACAAAACCTTTACGGTTGTGTTTGCTGGGTATATTCTTTGAGTTAAAACAATAAGACTTTCATAATACCATTTTTCAATTTAGAGCTTCATGTTCGATATACAGGGCGACAAAGTTTGAAATTTAAAACTGTTTTTTTTTTAATAATTCGAGTAATTGATAAGATAATAAGTTCAAATTCGGTACACTACTTCAACATAAATAGTTACATTTTTTGAGACCAACAAAGCAAAAAACAATTGTCAAATAATCAAAATAGGGGGGGTCCAGTACTCACTGACTCCCCCTATTTTTAGTACGTGCGCCAATGACTTCCAAACGGTATTTTTTCAGGTAATCATTTATTGTTAAAAAAAATTTGTCTCTTATAAAATTTTGATAAAATGATTTGTTTTAGAGATAATTTGTAAAGTATGGGTCAGTCCATATCAAATCAACCAAAGGTTCTTCCCCCAACCATCTCCGATTTTGATAATTTTTGGTAAATTTGTTTACCTCACTAAAAAACTCAAAAATCCCATATATGAATTTTTTTCGATTGGTGGTTTTTGTTTTATTGATATTTGAAAATCAAAAAATTCCGATAAATTTGGGTTTTGCAAGTACTTACAAAAATAGCGATATCTCGTAAACTATTAAAAGTAGAAAGGTGAGTGATGGCTTATTTTAAAGGCCTATTAGAGACCTTTTTTATGATATATCACATGACCTAAATTTAAAAAAAAAAAATTAAATTTCAAAAATTTGATATGGATTGACCCATACTTTACAAATTATCTCTAAAACAAATCATTTTATCAAAATTTTATAAGAAACAAAAAATTTTCAACAATAAATGATTACCTGAAAAAATACCGTTTGGAAGTCATTGGCGCACGTACTAGAAAATAGGGGGAGTCAGTAAGTACTGGACCCCCCCTATTTTGATTATTTGACAATTGTTTTTTGTTTTGTTGGTCTCATAAATGTAACTATTTATGTTGAAGTTGTGTACCGAATTCAAACTTAATATCTTATCAATTACTTGAATTATTAAAAAAAAAATCAGTTTTAAATTTCAAACTTTGTCGCCCTGTATATCGAACATGAAGCTCTAAATTGAAAAATGGTATTATGAAACTCTTATTGTTTTAACTCAAAGAATATATGGTTAACTGATTGACCTCCTTTTCCAGGACACCCTGTATATGTATATATATTAAAATACTATAAATTACCACTACACTAATTTCCATGTTATTTTTACTCGTAAACAAATGGTCAAAATATCATGAAATTTTATATGCTTCCTTTTAATAGTATATTATGTATCAAGTTTTATAAACGCCATTTTAGTTACGAGTTTAATTAAGCAGGAGCGAAGCTTGCGAGCGAGTGTTTAATAAAAACGAGTGTCTAGAGAAGTTTATAAACGAGTTGCATACTATACTTTATCTACGACGAACACAAAACAGAATTTAAAGCCAATTTTATTTGTTAAAATTTTGACATCTGTCAACTGTCACCCGAATTTAACCTCACTTTTTCCCAATTTATAATAAAGCTAACTTCATCCCGTGGCGTTAAATGTCGAAAAGCCACTGTTGTTAACTTCAGCCCGTCAATAAAACGCCATAAAGTCACAGCTCGTCAATGTAGAAGTAGATAATAGTATATTATGTATCAAGTTTTATAAACGTCATTTTAGTTACGAGTTTAAATAAGCACGAACGAAGCTTGCGAGCGAGTTTTTAATAAAAACGAGTGTCTAGAGAAGTTTATAAACGAGTTGCATACTATACTTTATCTACGACGAACACAAAACAGAATTTAAAGCCAAATTTATTTGTTAAAATTTTGACATCTGTCAACTGTCACCCGAATTTAACCTCACTTTTTCCCAGTTTATAATAAAGCTAACTTCAGCCCGTGACGTAAAATGTCGAAAAGCCACTGTTGTTAACTTCAGCCCGTCAATAAAACGCCATAAAGTCACAGCTTGTCAATGTAGGAGTAGATAAAGGTACTTTCTATTACCAAATAATATAAATATTGTGTGAGAATTTAATTAAAAGTCATGAAGTATTTATTAAAATGCATTTTAAAACCTTAATTAACTTAAGTTAAGGATTGACAGTACAAGGTATTTTAGGGTTACCAATAAGGATGTACGAACTTTTATGCTTAAAAAAAATCTTTAACCGCTGTTGTCATTTGTGTTCAGTAAGGTTTGTTCAAAAAGTATTTTCTCCTTGTACGGTTTTTATTTATTTTTAGACTGGAGCATTGGAAGGCCAACACCAAATTTTAAACAACAAACTCGTATCCTTAAGTGAGCAAAATTTATTGGATTGCACTTCTTCCTACGGAAATATGGGCTGCAGTGGTGGATTGATGACTTCAACTTTTAAATATGTAACCGATCATGGAGTTACAACTGAAGAAAAATACCCATACACTGGTATAGTGGGTCAATGTAAACAATCGAACGTTGTATTAAAAGCAAAGGGATATAAAGAAATTCGTTCAAATGATGAAAACAGTCTTCAGCAAGCGGTTTCTTCAGTTGGGCCGATATCAGTTGCCGTACATGCCAATACAAACCTTCAATCTTATAAATCTGGAGTTTTTAGTGACAGAAGTTGTTCAAATACCGAGCTTAATCATGCTGTGTTGATAGTGGGTTATACCCCTGAATATTGGATTGTCAAGAATTCATGGGGAAGTGCTTGGGGGGAACATGGCTATGCTAAGTTTCGACGTGGTACCAACATGTGCGGCATTGCCGCTTCTGCGAGTTTTCCAGTTTTGTAGTATATAGTTGGTTTAAACTTTTGTATAATAATTGCAATTTATATCTGTCTATATTTGATTTTAACAAAATAAATAAAATTTATTCTTAAAGCTTTATTTATTTGGTTAAATTTAATTTTTTTTATACGTTTACACGTTAATGGAAAAAAATGTTTTATAATATATATATATATATATATACAGGGTGATAATGTGTTACTTATCATATCAGTTTTTTTTAATTTAACTTCTACTATGGCAGTCTTGGAAAGGTGAAATTTTAGTCACTTACTACCAAAACACATATTCAAACATAATTACAATTGTTTGAGTGAACACAGTGTCGTAGAAACCGGGGTTGCTTTAAGCTTATTGTCCCATACAAACTTTGAGGTTAGGTTTTTGTAACATTTGATGCAATTTTTCGGTTACACAGTTCGGCTACCATTAAAAAGGTGTACCTATCAAACTTCAATAAAATAAACCGTTTCCGAGATATTCGAGATTACAATAATTGTTATATCGCAATATTTAAAAGGTATATGATAACAAATTTTATTTTTTAATTGAAAAAACTAAAAAGGGCATTCTATGAGCCTCGGGACTTTTTGCCCTGACCGTTACATTAAAAAAATTGTAGCTTTTTCAATTAAAAAATTTGTTATCATATACCTTTTAGTCCTTTAATGCGATATAACAATTGAGGAGCATCCGTGCAAAACCGGCACTTTAATAAAATGTTGAGAAAATGGCAAAAACTCTCGGTTTCCTGGCCTTTACAGATAAAAGAAAAAGCAAACTTGAGTTTTGGGGGCTTTGTGGTACTTGATTTATAAGACATACTTTCGTTTTCAAAAACTTTATATTAAGGCCAAAATTTCAAATGTCGATAGAAATGAATCCAAAGAAGCGAAATAAAAAAAAACAAAAACTGAATAAAATGGATTTAGCCGGTTTTGCACGGATGCTTCTCAATTATTGTAATCTCGAATATCTCGGAAACGGTTTATTTTATCGAAGTTTGAGAGGTACACCTTTTTAATAGTAGCCGAACTGAGTAATCGAAAAATTGCATCAAATGGTATTAAAATATTTAACCTCAAAGTTTGTATGGGACAATCACAAAACTAGAAGGTGGGGAGAACTCGCTTTAAATAGGATGCGCGTGGAAAAATATGAGGCACCATACAAAAACCAGCGACGCACGAGGCGCATGCGTATTAATCAAAACTTGTTGAGTTTACTGTTTACGTCTGTCAAAAATTTTCACATTTAGTTTTGTTTTCTTGTATTTTCTGTGATTTTTTCGAGTTTAAAAACTGAATAAACACTAGTTGTGTACTTTGTTATTTAGTGCAAATTGTTTGTCAAACTTTATAATGGTTAATAGTTTGTCGAACGTTATAATAGATAAATATGAAGTGTTTAATTCCATTTTGTACCAACAAGGGCAAAGTAGAAGGTATTTTTCTTTATTGAACACATTCCCAATTTTATTTAGGTTAATTTTGAGTAGGTAAGTTATATTATTCTATTTATTCCACAAAAAAATACAACAGCATATTTTTAAGCAAAATAAAAAAGACAATTTTAATTAAATTATCACTGTTTTAAATGTTAACTTTAAACCATAAAAATCAATACATTTTTAAATAACAAATGATATAAAAACAAGATCAAGTAGATGCTAACTAATAAGTAAATTGGGCAACAAAAATCAAAATAAATCTATTGAACTTTATGGTTTAAACAAAGTGATAATTTAATTAAAAAGTCTTTTCTATTTTAAATAACTTAGGTATTTGCACAACCTTAAAGGTTAATAAATAAAATATTTAAATACAAGTGTTTGTAACTAACTGCATAAAAAGATAATACTTCATTATTTAAGCGATATAATTTAAAACCGCAAATTTAAATTTGGATGAAAAGCGCAAGCGCACGATTAGTCGGCGCGGATTGTATCTTGCCTCACGTTTATAGACAGCGTTTTGACTTCTCCCCACCTTCTAGTTTTGTGGGGACAATAAGCCTAAGCAACCCCTGTTTCTACGACACTGTGTTCACTCGAACAATTGTAATTATGTGTGAATATATGTTATGCTAGTAATAATAAGTGACTGTTCACAAAATATCACCTTTCCAAGTCTACTATAGTAGAAGTTATATTAAAAAATATGATATGATAAGTAACACTTTATCACCCTGGATCTTTTAAACATACGTAATTTGTTTTGTCTTATTTTAACTTGCTTAATCTGCTCTTAAATTTATGCCACTAAGTTTAGGGACACCTTGTATATATATATATATATATATATATATATATATATATATATATATATACTATTTTTCATTGTAAATTTATATTTATTTATAATTTATTTTTAAATATGTTAAAAAATAACATGTGTATCGACCATAAATTAGGATAAAACGGCAAAAATTACCTACCCCTTTTGGCCTGGTCGATTTGAGATGGAAAGGCCCCAATAATAATTATAATTAGGACAGAAAATTAACTTTATAGTTGGTGTTATTAGAATGCCCAGTTGAGTGGTAAACTAACTAAAAAGTATTTTGATTGTTATTACTTACCTCGATCACACTACTTTTTCGCTATGGCAATTGGTCATTTTTGACTAATTCATTTTTAGAGAGTACCTATAGTTACAAAGTCATGAACTGTGTAGACTATTGTTAAACCTTGCCACCGTCAACTGCAACTATCAAACAAATACTAAAAATATTAGTATGACAATTTCTTTATTACTTTTATTTTGATACTTATATCAATAACAAAAATTAAGTCACTAATATTAAAGCGGCAAAAGGCCGAAAAAAATAGCGACAACCTTTATCCTATTTAAGTATTTGTTTATTTGCAAGAAAGTTAATCGTTGCAAAGTACCAATAGACTCTTTGATTTTTCCAATAATTCATATGATTTTTATTTAACATCAATTTCAAACTTTATTTACACATTTTAATTAATAATTATAATTTATAACGATGATTTCAACCATAATTTTAATATTTAAATAAAATATACAAATTAAAGTAATGTGGGCTGCCTACCACTACTTTTCTAATACATACAATTATTTGGTTAGATTATGGGTCTTATAGATCTATAGATCTTTGAAAAACTAGCAGTAGTTCCTTAAACAATTTAAAATTTATCTCATTATGGATTACAATTTTCCCAAAATATGAAATAAATATGATTTATTGGCAACTATTGGCGAATGAGTGACAAACTTCAAACTTGAAGTTGACCCAATCCATTGGGAGTTTTGTTCTTCATAAATAGTACTTTTGACCCATTCAGACCAGGTAATTTTTGTACTGTTGCACGGTCCATTCATCGATGCAAATGTTTAATTAACCGTGCTCAAGTTATCAGTTCGAGAAACTATTAATTTCGTAGATAACCGCTAATGACTGTTTGCGGGATAAAGCTCAATTAAAATTAATTATTTGTCAATTATACTCCTTGAAAAAAACTGCACTGAAAGGTCATGCAAGTGCATAATTTATTATACTGGTACACACGTACGCTCGTTAAATTAATCTAGTATGATATTGGAAATTGCAAAAATCCTATTGATTGGACGTTCAATAGAAGATTAATAAGGAAAATCAAAGTTGGGTCAACGCTTTCTTAAATTCTAATGATGGACATGTTACTTTAAAATTAATAATAAAGTAAATCTATTTTACATGAAAGTATTCGTTTTCACAAAATAAGAAAAAAAATCTAATATGGATGATAATAAAATAAATTAAAAAAAATAACCCAAACTGTGAGGGCAACGGGGCAGTACCCTCCCGAGTCCCTCCGATGCTACTCAAAAACATTATATTTAATTAATTTATTTGTAATGTTACACTGGTGTAACCGTCTGTATTAACCGTCCTAAAGTTAATATTGAGAATTACATTTAAAAAGTTTGTTAAATTCTAGGTTTCCCATTTTGCTCCAGAAGTGTTGTGCACCAAAAAGAAATTAAGCGACGTTTATGTTTAGGTTACCAGTGCACTGAAGTGCTGCCAACTTAGTTCAGTATTAAACTTTCATCAACACGCTGTTTATTAATAAAATATTAATATTATTATAATATCGGTTGGTGATCTGGCTGGAACTAGGGGCTCCACTGGCCCAAAGTCGCCAATTGAAAAAGAGTCCTGATAATATCACCCTATTAAAAACAGATCGTTAACAAATGTTTCAAAGAAAATCCGTAATAAATCAAAAAGTAATCGTCGGAAAAAAAAATAATTTTTTATATCTTAAAATAACTTTGTATAATTTAATAATAAAATAAGACTCCTAGGAGCAAGCTTGCTCTTTTTACTATTCTTTATATGCTTATATTGTTACGTTCATGCTTGTTTTTTTTTATCTAAGTGAATTATTGTGTAATGTAATTCAAGAACCAATCGAAAGTTGCATTTTCATGTTTTTCCAAAGGATTCAATTTGGTACGTACATATTTGTTAGTGCAGTTGTCTAATTTAATTTATACTTAAATTTTGACATTTTTAAGAAATCACATTATACTAACATATCCTTAAAATTAAACATATATTTGAGCCCTCTAAAACGACGACAACTGCATTTTGAAATATGTAGTAAAAGACAAAATATATCTACGAAACATGGCAATAAAATATTATTTATAATACTTTCAAACTATAATACCCGTTTTTGGTCTTTTACCGTTGAATGAAGACAACTTATGAACACTTTTAGTAATTCATAATGCTGTTTGCATTTAGACCACTTATTTGCTTTATGATCTTTACTGAATTTGAATGTTTACAATTTCCACGTAAATCATTAATGAAATGTGTATTTATTGTATCTTTATAAGTACAATTGATATTTACAGGACTGTATGCAATTTTTTTTATTCGGATATTCACTGTTTATATTATATAAAGTCAACCCCGGATTTTCTCGATATTTTTAACATTTTCCGGCCTTACTCTCAAAAATACTATTTTGTAGCATACGCCTTTGACAGCTGCTTTAAAAGCTGTAGTTTTGTTACTATGAT